AATAGGACTAGAGAGGTGGCTCAGCAGTTTAGAAAACTTGCTGTTCTTCTAGAGGACCCAGGCTCAGCTTCCAGCACCCTCCCAGGAGTTAGCAACTGCCTGGAACTCCAGTTCCAAGGGATCTGACACTCTCTTCTGACCGCTGCAGGCACCAGGCACGCATGTGGTATACAGACATACGAGCAGACAAAATATTCATACATATAAGATGGATCATCATGAATAATACCACTTATAGTCAGGACCAAAGGTGGGAGAAGTTGACCAGGTGACTGCAGTGTCTGGTGTAAGAAAGTTATGGCAGTACCTTGGAGGCTCTGGTCCTCCACTAACATTGAGACTAGGCCTGACAACTGGACAAGAGATGATGAAATACTAAATACTTTTTTATTTCCTTTTAGTCAGAGTAACTGGAATATTCAAATAACTGTTTTATTTAATGAAAGATATACTCATTAACCTCCAACCAAATCTTTAAAAATCCCATCTATCTTTCAGTGATAACAATTTAAAAAGTAACATGGTCTACTTTTATAATTGAAAAAAATGTTTGTATTTCTATGTGTGAGAGAGAAAAAGAGAGATTGGCTCTTGCTTTATCTTCAGTTTGCCTCAAGCTCTTCCTGCTGCCTCAAACTTCTGAGTGCAGGGGTTTAGGACATATAGCACCATACCAGTCTTTCTTTTTTGATGGGCTTCAGTATGCAGCCCTGGCTGGCCTGAAACTCAATATGAAAAAGTGGGTTGGCCTTGAACTCACAGAGATCTGCCTGTCCCTGCCTCCTGACTGCTGGGATTAAAGGCCTGTGACACCATGCCAGACCATACCAGTCTTAAGTTATTTTTAATTAAATAAGATGTGATCTTTACATATTCAGATCTTCAGAAAGAAGACACTTGGCTAGAGAGAAAACTTCCATTCATATAGATTTTACTATTGCCATTGATATTACCATTACAGGTCAAAATGGAAAATCTTGCAAATGATGGACTTTTTTAGATTTTCTGTGTGAGTGTATATGCACATATATTTACATGGAATGATGTTTAAGTTTTTAAAATTTGTTTCAGGAATTATAAGCTTGGGTTAACATTCTATGACACAGTTAATACATTAATAAACAATACAATCATATATTATTAGACAAAAATTCAACATCCATTTATAATAAAAAAAACTCAGCAGAATGGGAGTGTTTTGCTATTACAATGTATTGGGCATCTCCAGAGAAATACACTGTTAGGGGAAGTGGATTTGGATTCATTTTTAACTTCATATATTACGTAGCCAGGAAAAGTTTATGAAAGAAACATACTTCATAATATGGAAAGGAGAAAATTATTCATATATTCATTTAATACCAATGAGGCAAAAAATGGTGGTAGAAAAATAGCAAGACAAGCAATAAATAGTAAATAATACAACAGATGTCAGGTAATGGTCAAAAGTATCAAGAAGACATGTTTATTTGTTTGAGACAGATCTCATGGTACTGAGGATGACCTTGAACTCCTGGTTTTCTGCCACACTTAGTTTGTAAGGCATCAGTTAGTAGAGGGCACACCTGAGGTGTGGAGCTGGGGACCACACAACGGTAGGCAAGTACTCCTTTGGTTCCCATCTCTGCTCACCACAGACTTTCTGTCTCATTAAGCAAGTTCCAAGTTTGCATGTTTCATGCCTCTTGCTTCACTTGTTTTGGCCTGGCACTTAACACCTACAAGGGCTGAGGAAAAATTTTTTTGGCTCTTCAAGGCAGGGTTTCTCTGTGTAGCTTTGGCTGTCTTGGAACTTGCTCTGTAGACCAGGCTGGCCTTGAACTCACAGAGATCCACTTGCCTCTGCCTCTGGAGTGCTGGGATTAAAGGTGTGCACCACCAGTGCCCAGATGGGCTGAGGACAATTTTGACTCACCCATTTCAGGACTGACCTTTTCTCTGGTTGGAGACTAAGTTATTACTTTCTGGTCATTAGAATTTGCTTATATCTTTGTAATAATCGACACAGGATTCAATAAAGGACCACAGCTCTGTATCAAGAGATGCTTAGCCCAAGTGAGATATTCATTAAAATAAAAATGGCAAGCACAAAACAATAGGAGAAAGATGGTCATGAGTTGCATCAAGAAAGCTCTTTGCTTTAGGACTCTACATACTTCCTCAACGTACTTTTGTGTTTTGAAATGGTCTGTAGGGAAGTTTGTTCTTATTCCTTTGCCTATCATTGAAGCATTTTTCTCTTTTATCCTGGGGCCCTTTATGTAGCCTCTCTAGTGATCCATTTCCAGACAACTTAGTTAACAGTAGATGACCCTTTAATAAATATTAGTGATGTGTACGGTTTTCTACTTCCATTTTTTTTCTCCTCCCAGAGCACTGCACTGAAGCAGTGCGTCTTCATTCTTGATAAACTTGGGATGGACACGAGACAATAAAACTTAGCATGTATCATCTGTATTCCACTGCCGTTACCAGTATGCTAAATGAAATTATGTTGGCTGCTGGGCAGTGGTGGCGCACACCTTTAATCCCAGCAATTAGGAGGCAGAGGTCTGTGATTTTTGAGGCCAGCCTGAGCTGTTACACAGAGAAACCCTGTCTCAAAAACAAAACAAAACAACAGAAAAAAAACCATTATGTTGGTGGTGGGAATGGTGGTGCTCTCCTTTACTCCCAGAAGTTTGGGAAGCAGAGGCAGGTCTCTCTCTCTCTATGTTGGAGGCCAGCCTGGTTAACAAGTTTCAGAAGTTTTAGAGCAGACAAGGTCATTGAGTAAGACCCTATCTCTAAAGAGATAAAGTGAGAGAGAATTAGGATTTATTCAGTATTTTCAAGGTACTAATCCTGTGGTTGCTCTCCTCCCCAAAACACCTTCATAAACTGGCATTTTAAAAAAAATTTTTACATTTTAAATTAGCCTTTAAATTACCAATGAGAAGCACCATGGACTCTGCAGTTGAGGAGAGCAAAGGGGTGGGTGACCACTACAAGGGTTACTGAGGCAAGATGATCCTCAATTCAGGGCCTGCTGGGGCCACACGATGAGTTCAAGGTGAGCCTGAATCAACCTCTAAAGTTTAAAAAGAAAGGGTGGGGCCTGGAGACAGCTGCTGCGGAGTGTGTCTACGACGTGTGAAGCCATAGGTTCACCCTCAATACCTTAAAGAAAACATTTGGGCACAGTTATCCAATTAGCGGCAGTTCTGGAAAGAGCGACTTTCTTATTTTGAATCTATAATTCACTACTCAATGTCGGTTACAAGACATTTGCTTGAAGCAGGTCCAGTGTGAGGAACGAAGGAAATCAGCTCGATATCAGCTATGGGTCCCAGTCATTCTGTTGAATACACCTGTGGGGTACAATGCCTGGTGCCCCTAAAATACTTTGGGTCGGACACTAGCAACCGGGGTAACCTGGCCTGAACTTAGGATTGCACAAGGCAACTTCTTAATAACCGTGACCCCATAACCCATCTGAGACACGGGGCTCGGGCCCAAGCTAGGCCTGAAGGCCTCTCATTCACCTCAACCACTCCGATAAAAACCTCAGGCCCACAGCGTCTGTGTGCTCCTACATTCCGTGACCGACTCCAGGGTGTTCCCGCCTCTGTTCTGGCATCATCAGGTACCTCGGACGCCATCCTACAGCTCCAATTGAACCCGTCAAAAGGCCGGGCACTCACCACGGAGACCCTGCCGACGGAACCGGAAATAGCTGCTTGTAGACGCTCAGGAATAAGTAACGTCTCAGTTGCCAGGTGCGAGGCTGGTCCTCAGGAAGCTGCTCAATTGGTCCATTGAAGAGGGACCGCCGCCTTGGGAGCACGCTGACCAATCAGGATGCAGGATGGTGAGCCGGGGGCGCGTCGCTTCCGGCGGTTTCCCCACAGCTTCTGCGTGGGGAGCATGGCAGCGTGGGAGTTTTGTGGTGGCCACCTCCTCCTTTGTCGCGTCTCGGCTGGGCGTGGCTTCGGGCCGCTTCTGCCGGGTAGGGTGAGACTGTCAGTGCCCCAGAGCTGCTGAGCGGGTCCGGTTCAAGGCTCACCTTCTTCATCAGAGAAGCCGTCACCTCTGATTCTCAAAGGAGCTTGAGGGTTTCGAGGAACCTGAGGGGAGAGTGGAAAGGCCTGGTAGGCGAGTCGTAGATTCCAGGGACTGTTCTCTCCGCTTGATGTGTTGTCCCATCGTGGGGACTTGAAGAAGGACCCCTTAGCTTCCCCAGATGGCGTCCGCGCGCCCCACGTCAGATGACCAGGTGAATCTGTCGTTATTTTCCTACAGGTGCCTGGCCTCGTAGCTGGGTTAGACACACAGGTCCTGACTCGTGGGTACCTCCTCATATAGCCCTTTCAAACCAAGCTGTCTTCGTGCCTAGGCTTACCAACTTCCTCTTCAGAATCGCCAGATGGGGAGCAGAGCTCTTGGCAAGGGGTCTGTAACAGTTCTCAGAGTGTCTTGCGGGAATGCTTCTTCGGGTGACAGATTTCTAGGCTCCACACCTGTTGAATAATGATGATAACGTCCAGGTGATTTTTTTAATCACCACAACGCGCTGATTACAAATGAGGGGCGAACTAGATCTTGATGTGGTGGGAGGGGCTGAGCAATCACGGTGAGGAGGAAGACCGACAAGACTGCAAAGGATGGAGGAAATTCCTGAAAACCATCTCAGGATTTACTGGGCTGATTTTTTTTTTCCTCTCTTTCCCCTCTTCTCAGCGCACCGTAACCTAACTTTCTCTCCCCAAGAATTGTTCGCTCGTTTTTTTCGGGAAAGGCTACATTCTCACGGTGTACTGTCTTGGTCCTCACACCGCTGTCTGGAAATTTACGTTTATGATTTCCCTCCTAACCCTACTCCTAGAATCCCTCGTCGAGGAATATTTTACACCAAGCCCTTTCTTTTTGATATGTGAAAGGTTTTGCTCTTTTCAACATTCCTAGATTAACACTTGAACTGACTGCTAGCTTCTTGTACTAACAGGGTTCTTCTGTTTTAGGGACTGTTGCTGTTTGAAGATCTGGATGTGTATTTCTCACAAGAGGAATGTGTGAGTCTGCAGCCTGCCCAGAAGACCAACAGCGGAGAAGCCTCGTTGGAGCGTTTTGAGGATTTGGACTCGACAGGTAAAACAATTTTCCTGTATTATGGAACTTTCATCAGTTCTAGGATGAGAATTTTATGACTTTTCCACATTGGTGATGAAGTGGGACGTGTGTGTGTGTGTGTGTGTGTGTGTGTGTGTAGGCCAGAGGATGTCAAGTGTTCTTTCTCAGTCACTCAGTACTCTATTTTCTGAGTCTGGCTAGCCAGTTTGCCTTGGGATCCCCTATCTCCACATCCTGAATGCTGCGGTAACAGGTGGACCACATCTACCTGTCTTTTATTGGTGCGGGGGTTCAAACTCCTTAGTTTACACAGCAAACATTTTATCCGCTGAGCCATCTCCTGAGCCTTTAAATGATTTCTTGAAAGAAACCCAGTCTACAGCGGTGACCATGGTTTCATATACTATGTAATACCTTGTAATTTCCTGAAGTAATTGTTAAAGTCAGTTTTACTTGAAAAACTTCATTAGGTATAGATTACTGTCATTTGCTAAAAATTGGGAACAAATTTTCTTTTAAGGGGGTGTTTTGACTTTTCTCACTGAAGGGTAACCATATGCAGCATCCTTATGCCTGAATAGACAATATGTCTTGTGGAGGGTTGAGTACCTAAACTATTTTTCATAATTCATGACTCAAATTTTCCACTTTTGTCATGATCATGTTCTTCTCCACCTTCTCTTAAATGTTTGTTTTATACATTTATGTTTATAGTTATAAATGTATTATAATATAAATAAATATATTTATAAATATGTAGTTATTTGTAATAGCTACTTTCTTTGCTGATTTTATTTGATTTTTTGAGACAGGGCCCCTCTGTAGCCCTGACTGTCCTGGATTCCCTATGTAGTCCAAGCTGGCCTTGAGTGCACAGAGATCCACCATCTCTGCCTCCAAGTGCTAGAATTAAAGGCATATGGACACACTAATTATAATAATATGCCATTTCTGGATCTATTTTTATTGACTGGTTTTTCTCCTTGTCATGAGTTGTGGATTCCTATTCCTTGCATGCCTAGCAAAGTTTGACTGGAGTTTTAGATGTTGATTATTTTTTGTTTTGATTTGTATTTTTTAAAGATTTATTTAATTTTTATGTATGTGAATATTTTGCTTCCATGTATGTCTGTGTACCTACCGTGTGCATGCCTGTTGCCTGAGGACATCAGAAGAGGGTGTTGGATCCCATGGAACTGAAGTTACAGACAGTTGAGAGCTGTCATATGGGTGCTGGGAGTTGAACCCAGAGCCTCTGGAAGAGCAGCCAGTGCTCTTAACAACTAAATCATCTCTCCAGCCCCTACAGATGTGATTTTAAAAAGAAATAAAGAAAGAAAATCTTCAGTTTGCAATTAGTTGAATCTGCAGCTACACATCTATGGATATTTAGTGATGGCTATGTTGGGAAAAATATTTAAAAAGAATTCTTCATGCTAGGTCTAGGTTTTGTTAGCCCTCCCTGAGATAAGACAATATTTGCCTGAAGTCTACACAGCACCTTTATTATCATTCTTCCATGAAGGATGACCCTTTAGGATATAAAACTATTTTTAATAATTTGGATGTTTATTAAGGTAGAAAAATAGTTGTCTTCTTTTTTCTGATAAATATGTCCAATCTCTAGTAGTTTTGACTACTCAACTCTCATTTGAGATGAAGAAAAATTCCTAAAACCTAAATAAACAGAAAAACTCCATTTCTAGGCACCGCCTACGAAGACTGTCCTCAGTACCCATCTCATCAGATCCTTAGAGTCATTCTCTGCTCCTTCTCTTTGCAGATTGACCTGGAACCTTGCAGTCCACCCACATGGACAGACTTTTGATTTTTGGAAGTCAAGAGAGCCTGTTGGCTCCTGATTTTTTGTATTATTAGTGTCTGGGTAATTAGCCAATCCGTGTTCAGTTTCTGGTCTTCAGAGTAACTACTTTAACTTGTTCTTTCTCTAGTGTCACGTAAAGGTGGTGTCTATGTTTTCCTTTGTTTTGCTTTTAATCAGCAGGAGGGGAAGACAAGATTGAGACCAATCAGCAGTTAAGCCTAGAGTCTATGGAACTTGAAGAGTTGTCTCTAGAAACATACTCCATTGCTGCACCCCTTGTCCACTACTCTGAAAAACCTGAGCATGACGTTGGAATGCATGAAAAGAAGATGTCAGGTGGAACTTTGACTTGTAAGACCAAGGTTATAAGCCTCTTAGTTACCATTGAAAACCAAACCCCATTAGTAGAATTATCTCAGTGTTTAGGAGTCAAAACACTTTCTGATATTATTGAAGTTCCCTGGGAAGAAGCCACAAATGTGTACAAGTGTCCTGACTGTGACCAAAGCTTCAGTGATAACACATACCTTGTTTTGCATCAGAAAATCCATTCAGGAGAGAAAAAGTATAAATGTAGTACCTGTGAGAAGACCTTCAGTCACAGAGCCAACCTGAGGACACATAAGAGAATCCACACTGGTGAGAAGCCTTACAAGTGTACCAAGTGTGGTGCCAGCTTCCGGCAGCAGTCACACCTGTCCCGGCACATGAACAGCCATATAAAGGAGAACCCGTATACATGTAATGTATGTGGGAGAGGTTTTATGTGGCTCCCAGGATTAGCGGAACATCAGAAGAGTCATACTGATAAAAAATCTTATGAATGTGCTGACCGTGATCAACCATATTGTCAGGAAACAAATCTGGCTTTGCCTGAAAACACAGGCTCATCAGACACCCCATACCAGCATACCCAGTGTGAGAAGAGCTTGGAGCACCCCTCGTACCCTGCTCTCCCTGAGAAGGATCATAAGGAGGACTCTAAGAACTACAGTATTGATGATGAAGACTTTTTTTCATTCTCCAGATTCAAACCCTTACAGTGTCTTGATTGTGACATGACCTTTCCTTGTTTCTCGGAGCTTGTTTCTCATCAAACCATTCATGACATGGAAAAACCTCATAAGTGTAAGACATGTGGAAAAACCTTTGCTTTAGATTCAGAACTTGCATCCCATGAGAAGCAGCACATCAAAGAAGAACCCTTCAAATGCACGGTGTGTGGGAAGAGCTTCCGAGTGAATCTGCATCTCATCACTCACAAACGAACCCACAGGAGAAACACCAAGTAAATACAAGCTTTGCCACTGTGTGAGCTTCTCAGTGTCTTTATGATGGGAAACCGCTTATGTGCAGCATTACGCTAAGCAAGCACTTTACACACATTCCAGGTAATGTAGGCAGTATTATTTATTACCTCTGATTTAGAACTGAGGCGACATGTTACATACATAGCATATAAAGCGAGGATTTGAACTCAGTTCCTGATCAGATTTCATTTATATGAGCCAGAGAAACAGAAAACTTTAAAATTTGGCTTTTGACTGCTGGGTGTGGTGGCGCACACCTTTAATCCCAGCACTTGGGAGGTAGAGGCAGGTGTGGATCTCTGAGAGTCTGAGACCAGTCTGGTCTGCATAGTTCCAGGACAGGCAGAGCTAAATGTGGGACCCTGCCTCAAAAACCAGAATAATTCAGTTTTTGTTAAAATGAAGGTTATTTCTACATTTTTTTTAAAAAAAAGTTGGTTTCTAAGAATTTTAGGAAGGGGAAATTTATTTATTTTTTTGCCAGTTCTATACATGTAGTATCTAGGAAAATGAATGTATTTATATTTGTTTTTGTACTTTTCTTGTTAAAACTATTTCAGTGAAATGTTTGTATGGACTATTTTGTTTGAACTGTGAATTTCTAGTTAAGGACTCCATATAAAGTTACCAAATGGGCCACTTTAGTTTTTTTTAAGTGTGTGTGTGGGTTCTTGCTGTGTAGCCCAGGCTGGCCTCAAAGATCATCATTTTCCTGTTTCTATCTCCCAAGTGCTAGGATTACTGGTATGTACCATCATATGCAGCTAGTTAACAGCTGGATAACATTATTTGTGGATTTCCCATTTTCAGACCTGATGGCAGGGGCAAGCCCTGAATTCTCTAGCAGTTAAACATCGTGGGAGTATTTGCTCCTCTCTGAAGGGATCTGCCTCTAGATCTCCACTGAATCACACCCTGGCTGGTTATGAGTAATTAGAACTACTTTTTTAAGAGAGCATGCTAAATAGTGTGGATATATTATTTCGTTTAATCTTCAACAGAATCCAAGAGAAAAGGTCTGTCCACGTTTTACAAATAGATGGAAGCTTTCAGAAGGTAAAGTCAATGCTTTGCTAAGCACACAAAACGTCACACTGGTGAGGTTGACATCTAAATTCAGGTGCTTTCTAATTCCTAAGGCCACACATTTTGTGACCCTGCACTGTCTGTTGGTATTTGTGCCACAGGTTAACACTAGGAGACAAGGATGCTGGGGAAGGAGGGGAACCGCAGGCCTGGAGGCTGCCCTGGGACTTACTACCGTATTCTTACCCAAAACTGGATTTCATTGCTCTTAAAAAGCAACAGAAGACTCTTTACAGCTTCATACTTGAAATTCTTGTCACTGTATCAAACCAGAGATTTTTGTTGTTATTGTTTTGTTTTTGTTTTTTTTTCCATTTTGAGACAGGGTTTCTCTGTATAACCCTGGTTGTCCCGGAACTCCCTCTGTCCACCAGACTGGCCTCGAACTCAAGAGATCTGCCTGCCTCTGACTCCTGAGTGCTAGAAGGTGTATGCCACCACGAAATGGCTAGAGACTATTAAATTGTAACATTTCCTGTCCATTTCCAAAGAAAAATACAATAGGATTATTGAGTTTTTAACCAAAATAACTGATAACAAATATACCTTTAGGTACTGGTATCACAGATAAATATTAGAACAAAATATTGTCATATAGTGTGGTTATTAAAAGAACCAAAGAATGTTGTAAGTATACATTCTTACAGAACTACACTTTACAACAAAATTGATTATATACCTATCATTAAAACTATATGGTCTTTTGGCTAATATGCATTTATGATTGATTTCATTCTGTCTAAATAGACTGTAAAATGTAGTATTTACTAAAATGGAATTACTGCTAGGAAATTTCATGCACAAAAATAAAGCCCTCTTGAGGGCCAGTGGCTAAAATGTAGTACCTGGGATCGTCTCTTCTACAGAAGAGCAGGTTGAGGATTTTATGTACAAAAAGATGCCAGCTGCGCAACTAAGCGCTTACTATTTACTAGAGACAGGAAAGATCACTGTTGCTGAATGAGGAAAACTGAAGTCAACAGCCTTGCCTCACCTGTCGGCCCTCTCCTGGAGATCACTATTTCAACTTATTTACAGTTGAGACTGTTTGATCTGTATGTCAAGGTCAGACCTGCCTGTTTCTGCACATTTAGGATATAAACCATCATTCTGTCAGGGAGTTGGGGTCTCACATTTAAAATACCTTCTGGTCTCTTCAGCCCTTGGTCGGAGATGCTTTGAATTGTATAAGAAGGTCCTCTGAAGTCTTAGCTAACTCTGGGATATGGTTGTTGTGAAGCAGCCACCAGAGTGTTCGTTTCCCACTGTCTTTCTCAGAGCAGGAAGTGGTGTGCTACTCCATAGGCTCTAACATTTCCGTGCAGACCCTTGAGCTACAGGATGGGGAGTGGAGCTGGCAAAGAGGCCCTTACTAATAGGGCTGGTACAGAAAGAACAAAAGAGAAATGTGGCTGATCTAAAGCTGGAAGTTGTCGCCACTAGGGAAGCACAAAAGAAGGTGAGTCTGTGCTGCAGGCACTGCTGCGCATCTTTACGTGGAATTCACATTTCTAGCTGGGGCTCAGTCACAATTTACCTCTCAGTGTTTGTAGTTTTCTGCATTCTCCAGACTTTGAAGATTAGGGAAAAAAAGGCACTTTTATAAAAATCATTACTATATTTGAGAGTAATTAAATGACTTGTGGTATATTGTTGGTGACTGGTATGCAGAAAAAAGAAAAAAGGAAAAAGCAGTTACTGTAAACTAGGCATATTTAGTTGTTTCCTTATTGTACTTGTTTCTGCAAACATTAGTTGTATGTTATTCTCAAACTGCTCCGCACCCAAGGAATTGAAGGAAGAGCTGCAAATGGTATTTCAGCTACTTTCATGATAATGGCCTTTCCATCCTCCTAACTGTCTTGCCCACTAGGATAGATCACATAAGATATTAGCAAGTCATGTTAGGTGCTAATAACATATAGGACACAGTCAATGTAGAGATAAAAATGGAATGTATGTATATTGCTGTGAATGGTCGGCTAACTACATGTAGGAGGGGTGCTGACCCTCTGAATGGTCGGCTAGCTACATGTTGTAGGAGGGGT